TAATTCTAACTAAATTTCTAAGCTTACTGTATAGCTTAACACTAAAGGCAAGAAACAGAAAGTTCCACTAAAAGACATAATACACCTATATGAATCAAAAGAAAATTTAGTCATAAAATTTAAATATAAAATATAAATTCTGAAGCAAAATCTTGTCCATAAAAGCTTGGTTAATATGCAAATTAATTCTTCTGTTACAAATTAACGACGATGATGATAAATCTGACACAGTATGGCGTATATGCTCATTACTGAAACGCAAATTCATTTACGGAAACAAGTCATTAAGTATTCTATGGTAATATTCGATCGGGCTATGCATCAAATTGTTACTTGAAACATGTTTCGCACGAAGCAAGAGAGATGGGACAGAGGCAAGAGAAAAGAAGCAAACAGAAGGGAATGAGACTGCATATCGAAGGGACAGTGTTTTTCAGTGTTCTTATTTGTAAATTAATTTGCCGCAAGCTGAAGCGACCAGTTTTTGAGCGGCTATTTCATTGCACCACACCGCACGTCTGACACATCCGCCAATTTTGCGCGCAGATGCGCTCGCCTTTGTATGAAAAATTTTAATTATAGTAGAATAGCAGCTGATAATTCATTGTATACGGCGCGAAAAAAAGAATTTTAATATGGATTAAATTAATTCATGGTATTCCAAGATTAATTGTTTTACTCGTCATTAAGATTAAATATTTATCCACGTTAATTACTGCGATGTAATGATATTTGTTCAGGCAAGAACACATGATAGACAAAGTGTCGGCCGACTGTATCTTTTATGGAAAGTCCTTGGCAATATAGTATAATGCAACCACGCATATGTATGACATAATTTTAATTGTTTTTCATAAACGACACGTAACAGTCGGACACACAACATTTTATCGTGTGCTGTCGTGTGCTCTTGCCATTACGTTTTACAATATTAAGCATAAAAAAATGTCACGTATCTGATCTTTGAGCATTGAACAAGCAACGATTTGAATATACCTTAAAAATATCTTAGAAAGAGATATTTTTCTTCGCTTTCTTTGAGAAATAGAAAAATTTGAAAAATTTGTCGAAAAATTTAAGTATTACGTAATCGTAATCGATGATTGAAAAATGAATGTTTTACTATGCTCGATCATGCGTGGTTGTAAGTCTCGTATCTTCCAATAATATTCAATAACACATCTAAATCGAGAAAACAGCAAGGCAGCATATATATAATATATATAATATATATGAATAAGCAGAAAGCATTAAAATCACTATATCCATCATTAATTAATTCGATCAATGCATCGCCTGCTTGCGCAGCCACCGCTGTCATTCAGTGTTCGATTTTCCATACACAAAATTGGTCATCCGCCATCGTTATGGAGAATCCAGCGAATAAAACCGTTACTTATGATCGGATAGATTTTTTCGAAACGATTCGCTTGATGCCTGTCGCACTTACGGTCGTTTTTCTCTGCAGCGGCATCTTGTCATCGTTTTCGCAATGAATTTTAAAATGGACAGACACGTGAGGACGCGGTACATGAACTCGCCGGACAAGGAACGTCAGAAACGGTATGTCGCGGTCTTCTCATTCTCCGAGATTATGCTTGATTGAACTGCCTTGCGGGAGCTGCTTTACCATGCGTAACGTCAGGGTCCGTCGATTTCGTTTCGCCTGAAACGAAAATCCGAACGCGGCGATTGTATACAATTCAGCATTCGCTGAGGAAACGCGAGTGATCGTTTGAAAAATGAATGGGTTACGCTCTGCGATCTTGTTGTTCGATCCATGATCGTTCGATCTATTACCACAAAGATCTGTTATCGTGATGACGTCGAGTATTGTGAGATTGTTCGTAAAAAAGCGATAACTTTTCGTCCTTTCACGAAGGATCACGATCGGCGATTAAAAGCAAAGAACGAAAAACATCTGGAAACTTGCTGTGAAACCGATATAATAATTTTTCGCGAGTTTTTTTTTTAAGAATTTCTTGATTGAATGCGATTTATTCGAACCACTGAATATGTAGCAGCGTTGACTGCACATCTCGTGAAGATGTCCGAAATGTGGCAATGATTGATAGTCAGATTCAGTGCTCGTCCTGACAATCATTCTATCACTTTGGAGACGACACGATTTTCTTTGGATTCTACATGTTTTCCTCGTCGATTTACTTCATTGATTATTAATGGTCGATCTGAAAGCAGAAAAATTGGATGGTAAGCGATAGGCACACAATGTGATAATGAGTCGCTCATTTCCAAGATGTTTTAAACAATCGTATTTTACACATGTTCTAATTTCACCAGTCATAATAGTCATTTTTTTGATTAATAAGACATTAATGTCACTAAAAAATATCTATTTTATATATCAATAATAAATAATAAGTGTTCAAATAAAGAAGAATACATCTCATCCTCTTATTTTTCTCTATAATACTTTTCTTTTGTTAATTTGCATTGAAGTTTTAGATACATTTACTCGCATATTTGTCTTCAATATTTATTCCCAATTTAAATATAAAATAATTATTGTGACTAAATAATACCGCAATAACAATTGTTAGATGTTGAGATCATATCTACATCACGGGAATAATAATCTAAACAAATTGATTCTGTCTTATGCAATAAGATTTACGCAACGTGTCACGTGTAATTCTACGACGCATAGTTTCTGAGATTCAAAGAAGTAACGGAGTAGTTTATACATAATTTGCTTAAAAATGTAATAAAACCAATGCGATGTCGTATTAACGCGGACTCTTATCTACTCAGATACGTAATTCCACATCCTTCTATTAAAAATGTCATTATTTTCAAAATAGTAATAATTCCGATTTAATTATGATCTACAATTGCTTTTTAATTATTATCGCCAGTGTATAGGAAAAAAGAAATATAATTACCACAGCAGTGATTAAAGTATTAGCTGTAATGAAGGGATAAAAAATACAGACATATCTATTTATGCCATTTGAAATTCATAATAATACCGGATAAATCACGTTATTTTATTTGCTGCTGTCAACGTTTATGTAAATGCACAATTGCCAAACGACTTGACATGCAATGTAAAAACGCAACATTCAACTATGTTCAAGGATGTACTGGTTTTATGACATCATCAACGAAAATATCGCTTATTTGCATTCTTCTTTGCGATAACAGTTTATTATCGTATTTAATTTATTATATGCATTACACCTCAAGAATTTTCTCTTGTAGTTACACATTATCCGTCTATCAAAATTATCAAAAGTTTATAATATAAAAATAATATTTGCTATTTAGCAAGGTTATCATAAATTTGTTATCATTTAAGTTTTTATTAAAATAATCTAAGGAAATCGAGCCCAAGCCAATCGTTCAATATAAACAACAACGCGGCACTAACAACACTAACATAAAAAAAATTATCGAATGCCAGAAACCGCCGACTAAGAAATGAAACCTGGAGAGAAGTTAACGACCGCCATGTTGGCTTATCCTGCGGATATTAAATCTGGTAGCGGCACATTTCTCATTCGAGAAGTTTTCTCAGAGAGACGACCGACAAGAGAAAACTTACCGCGATGCTTTAAAGATTGTCAAGTCGCGAAGGGGAAGGAGGCGGACGAGGTTCACCGCCGTAAAACAAAATTCACTACGGAAAGATGGCAAGAGAGAAAAGAGTGGATGAGAAAGAGGAGAGGATTGAAGAAGCGACAAGGACGAGGAGGAGGAGTATATTATGTTCGCTAAAGCAATGTTACCAACTCGAGAACTGGCGAACTAGCCGACAGTAAAATCCATTTTATGTCTCCCTCGTAAAGCCAGTCAAATGAAACCCGGACTTAGTTTTCATACGTGCACCCAATGGCAGACCCGGTTTCCTGCCCGCTACGATAGCAGGTTGTAACAGACTTTTTCGAAAGTCTAGACGCATTGGTACCTAGATCGGGCATCTTTGTCGAATCAATCTTGGTGAAACCTCGATCATTATGATTTCGATGGCATCGATTATCAATCTCGTTTTACTTTCAACATCGCTGCAAGTTATATGTCACCAGTTTCAAAAAATCTTTCTAAAAAAATTAATACAAACAAATCAAGAAGATTAATAAAATTAAGATACAAAATTATGGAAACACACACACTGGAAAATCAAGAAGTCAATCATTTTAATATTTGATACATGACGTATGGTATTTCAATTGAGTCTTTTATTTTAATTGATATACACGAAGCAATAATTTGTAAACAAAGAGCGGTACAAGATAGATACTAAAAAGCTTGACCAAGCAAAACATCGTTCGACACTAAAACCTGATTGCCTCGTAAAACACGTCTCGCAGACACACATCCCGAAAGAGTAGTGACGATAAAGACCCAGTACACATCTTAGAAGACCGACTTTAAAAAGATCTCTTTCGTTAGATACCACAAACTTTTTCTCAGAATCATTTTAATCGACTCTTTTGTTTGCCGATGTTGCAACTGTGTCTAAAAGATTCGTTAATAAAACGTGCTCCAACTTGAAGAAGAACACACGAAAAACGCAAAAATGGTTTCGACGAAAATATGATGACGCGGTATATATGATATATTATTGCGAAATAACCGGCTTTTATAACTTCGAGGAATCTACAAAACTTGTAAATCATCGAAAATTAAGTAATAGATATGCCAACAATACAAGGAAAATGATTTCAAAAGCAAAACATAGCAGACAGACATACAGCAGAGAATGTGATAAAAGCACTGAAAAGAAAAATAGTCTGGATTAAATAGTAATTCTGATAGAAAATGGACGAATCAGAATTTTCTGATTAAATCTAGAATTCTAGTTGAGATAACTAGAATTGTATTTGATATAATTATTTTGATAAAAATAAGAATTTTAGTAGATTTTATCCAAAAATATTATATCAATCAGAATTCCAATTATCTCAACTAGAAGTGTAATAAATTTAATCAGAAAATTCTGAGTCTATCTATTGTCAATCAGAAATTTTTTTAAGTGAAATGATAAGAGAAATCGAGTTCATTGATACGCGTGCGATGTATAGTCGTAGTCGTCCATCATTGTTACACGTATTTAACCAGTTGACGACGCTTGGAATATTATTTCCACTCGTAAAACGATCCCTCTAACGATCGACAGTTACTTTGATGCCGTTTCAGGGGCGAGACCGAGCGTTATGTCGTTCCTGGTCGTGTTGCAATACACATTCTTCTCGTCTCGCTTTAGAGCTCGTGAATTTGTGCCGGTACACGATTCGTCATCTCGTTTTCATGAGGCTTTAACCGTCCGCGCCTGGGTCTTTTTTTACGAGCGACTATTTCGTCAAAGTGCCAACCACTTTGTTAAGTACACGTATCTGTAACGGTGCGTTACGACGAACGCAGGATCTACTAGTGTTAAGTGGATGTGGACTTTCAAGAAATATTCGATGATCGATCGCAAATAACATGAAAGCCAATAGTTGCCTCAAATGACGTAATTTATCGTACAGTCTATACGTGAACGTCTTTACAATTACTTTATATATATAGTTTTTCAGGTATGACAATCACTGCGCATTATAAATGTAAAATTTTATACATGCAGTTTAAATTGCTAACGTATTTACCGACTCGTTATATATTTTTCTTTAAAAAAAACTGTGTACCTTTTATTATGTATCATTATGTATCATTATGCGTCATTGCTCAAGGAAAAATATAATATATTAACAAATGTATCTTGCAGTAATTGCACATATTTTAAGATATTAAAAAGTTTTATATCTGTAGATATAAAATTCTCATACCGAGAAAGTAAAAATACAACTACCTTCATTTCTCAAAAAAAAGAGTGACAATTTCATTTTTTTTAAGAGTGAATTTTCACTTTAAAGGAATGAAATCTCATTTGTAGAAGTGAGACTTCATTCCTTTGAAGTAAAATGCATTCTAAAACAAATGAAAATTATCACTCTTTTTTCAAGAAGTGAAATATTTTCATTTTTTTTCAAAGGTGATTGTATTTTTATTCTTTTGGAGTGAGATTTCATTGCAAGCTATTTAGAGTATAAGCTTATTTAAAGTTATATATCAAAATGTTTGTTAAGAACAAAAATATGCATGCAAATACGCAGCTTCTTCATATTATTAACATTTCATATTATTAATTTTTCATATTATTACATATAAATTAAATTTTCATATTATTAACATTAATAATTTTAATAATCATCACAATAATAATAAAATAATAATAATACAGTATTAAAAGAGAAAAAAAGAAAAGGAAGCAAACTAATGAGTCGGAGACTTTGGTTCATAATTTATATTTGCATTCTTTCCAAAAGACCCTTTCTTTTTGATCGACCATAGAATGTCTCATAAAAATATGATTTATAGCTATACCGCCTCACAATATCCTTAGCTGCGTAATCTACGTTACTTATGTTCCAATGATTTACATATATCTACGTTGTTCCCATTCAATGATTTCTGCATCCAAGTAATTCGACGAATCTTAATGGGGGATTAATTTGAAGCTTATTGATTAGACAATTTAAAAGATATATAATATAACGAGAAAAGACTTTTGATCCACCAATAACAGAATCGACAGAAATAAAATTTGAAAATCATTCCGCGTTCATTGACTGACTACGATTAATCATATTGATCAAATACTATCTATATAATAAGATATTTTTATTATATTTGTGTTTATTGTACAAAATGATTAATGAAAGATTAAAAATCATAAAAAATCATAAAAGTCACAACATATTTTGTATAAAAATTTTCAAGCTGTACACGACTTTTAACGTTAAGCTAATATTGAAAATATACGAACAAAAATTAGATTAGATATAGTTACGACAATATAAACTAAGATTGTTCATTTTAATCGAATTTTATAACTTTATAAAAACGGCTAATTGAATGGCTTATTAAGTTCTTTCTTAAATTCGCGAAGAGAAACCAGTCTGTGCACGTATCCGCATAGTCACGAAGAAAAGCTTTCATCGATAAAGGGTGAATAATCTAAGCAGATCCCAAGACGAACAGTGACTGCTCAAGAAGTCGTAAACATGGTCTAAGGAGGAGACATAGCCTGGCATATAACTAAAATGGAAACGATTGCGGCGGTTGCGAATGAGGTGGGTGGAAATTTATCATCTGCTAGTAAATGTGCTTCGCGGATTCTCATACC